AAGAACCCCAAGGATCCGGTGTATCCTTTGGTGTCGGAGTATGCGGACGTGGTCACGAAGAGCCCACCGTCCCAACTCCCACCAGACCGTGGAGTACGGCACGAGATTGACCTCGTGCCTGGCACAAAGTACTGTGTCACGACTACGAGTGACGGAGCTAAAGAGCTTTCTTCTCTAATTGTTTCGATGACGGATTCTTTGAATCATAAATCATCACATACTCTGGGCGTGCAGATTGGTGATCAACGCCAAGCACGTATCTCGAAGTCTCACTCGCAACATGGTGAATCAATGTTCCCTCAACGTTCACATTTTGCAGTTCCCATGCGTTACTACCGGAGCTAAGTGTGCCCCCAAACTTCTCTTGGAGGTGTAGCACAGCAGCAAATAGTGGGGTCTCATTCCGATAATTCCTCCATCCAGTGCTTACTAATTTAGCAGTCTCAAGACGCTCATACACTTCTTGTGCAACTCAAATTCCAGGCAACAACATTGGCTACACCGAGGTTCCGATGAGCCGTCGTGGTGTGTCCATCGCTTTTGGCCTCTGCATCACCTGGACGATCACACACTATTGTCCATCTTGTTCTGCTGTTTGGCAAGTATATCCCTGCGAATCTGAACGATGAACACTTCGAGTACAGGTACTGTACGGTCGCTGGGGTGATGGCACTCAACGCCATTGCTTTTTGTTTTTGTGATGAACAAAATGCAGCTTGCGATGATTCCGCGTCTCGGAGGTAAGTCTGCCGACAAAGGGCCGAGAGAGCCCAAACTCTCAATTGAGCATGACCGCAGTACCAGTTAGAATACTAGTGCGTGCTGAACTTGGTAGGCGATAACGTAGAAAATCATTTGCGCTGACTTGGTTTCCAACAAATTTATCATCGTCATGTCCACCAAACCAGTTTATCAAAGGAAGGCAATTCTGTTCATTGTCACGATCATAATTTTTGTGCTGAAGTCGCTTGCGTTCAGAGATCAGCATGATGTCAAATTATCTCCTTCTATCGGTAGTAGTATTGCAGACTTAACTCCATGCGTCATCCATTCAGAAATTCTGCTTCAGAATGTTGCAGGCACCTTCATCAGCACAATATGCACAGGTTAAGAAGAAGATTTTTTCCGGACTGAAGTCGCAACGATCACGGTAAAGCGGCGTGTGTTATTGAAGAAATCTCATTGTTGGCATTATCCTTGAACTTAGTTGCTACGAAGTCAGCCGACGAACACGTACACGCACTATAAGCATGCAGAGATTGCAAAACTCAAGTTTTACAGCTTTTGTTAAAGTTGAAGCAGTGATCCATCTCGCTAAGTCATTTGCTTTGATGCTATTTGACCACTCAGACGCCGTGTTAGTATACTGGATCAAGCACATTGTAGGAGGTCATGAGTTCCAGGTGCGCTTTCATTAGACTAATAACACGGTTGCCATCTGGGAGAACCGGCAACGATCCACTACGCCACGTACAGCTAATTGCCGGGCATCGCCATGCTGTACGCGTGACCCCACATGGCGAGATCCCGCACTTTGAGGATGCACAAATCATCGCACCTGACTCGGGGCTGAGAGATTTTTAATACGCGTCGTGAACAGGTCGTTCACGAACAACGCCTTGCGGCCAGTGAACGGGAGGGTTCGAACAACGGGAATTCTCAAACTCGACGATGGGCGGCGAAGTGGAAGCCTTGGGCGAGAGCAGCTTCAGCTCGACGATACAGAAATCGCAATCGAAGTGTCAGTCACAGAATCATATTGTGTACAGATCGAGAAAATTCACGCATCCTACCATGAGCTACAGTGATTTCAAGAACCGCAGCCGTAGCAGCACTGCGATCGAAGGCGCTAACTTCTCCAGTCCCTCCCCCGGTGATAAGGATTGCGACATTGTTAGTACTCAGAATGTTAGGTACTAATCCCACTAGAAGCAAGGAAATACTTGGAGACCAGATTATTATAGCTGACAGTTCCTTTTCCACAGACCACGTGACAAAGCCGCCTCACCAAAGTTCTCCAATGATTGATTTGAGCTCCACAAAGTGGTGGATTCGTTTATCACTCGTATTTGAATTAAAAAGGGACCAATTTTCCCTGATCGCAACTGCGCCATCGAGAGATGACCAATCACACCAGGAAGCTGGATGCCCGCAAACCGAAGTATGACTCCAACTGAAGCTCGACTAAAGGAGTCGTGGCATGATTTCCACAGAATAGGTCACCATTTTGAGTCTGACACTGGCATAGCGTGCCTTTGCCTTTATCGGTTATTACAACACAATTTGTTTTGTATTTTCGGTCTTTGGCTGTTCTTTATCCACCACACCAAACCAATACCGCAACACAACGTCTTGTTATCTTTAAGTTGGGTACCGCAGCTGATAGTCAGTTGGTTGAAACCGCCCGAAGTGTTTCCAGACAGTCTGTATGGCCATTTATAGTTGGATTTTTGCATAACGTGCTTTCATTTTTGCCACTCTGGATTCTTGCAGCACAATAAATGTTGTTATCTTCGGACATCTCCTTGCAAAACCAGCTGCTTATAAGTCGAGTTTTTTGGGCGGGAAGTGAAGGACTCGGGCGGGGTTGAATGCTGTCGACGTTCGACTTGAGAGTGTCGGTTGTCGGGAAAATCGAAAACTGCTTACATTCGTCAGCCACTATTCAACTAGTGTCTTTGCTGAACTTCTAAGAACGACTTTACCGACTATATACACAACACATACGTAGTTGTCTTATGACACTCAGTTCAGAGGAAAACTACTAAGTTTGGCATCCTCGGATTCTTCTTTTCCTCGCAGTCTGGTGCCACTCAGCCCATACGTAATAAAATTCGCTGGTTATTTTTTGGTTTGCCATAGCTATCGTACAAAGGAAATGGTGCGTCGATCAACTCTGTGCTTCTGTGACGTTTTAAATAAAATAAATTAGAACGCTGGTAGAAAAATGTTTGTCGAAGACTGAGTAAAAGGATAGAACCATGCAGCAGATTGCCGATGTATTGGATATCATAGAGGTTCAGCTGCGACCACATGAAGTGCAAGTGTGCGCTGTTGGAACCGTATGTGAACGCGGTCATCAACATGGTTACGAGCGAGATATTAGGTCAGGGACGTATGCAGGATCGTAAATAGAAAAAAAAATGTGGAGACAAGAAAGTCTCCACCCAGGCTATACTTGGACATTTTCAGTGATCCCTGACAAAACTGAATGAAGGAGAACGATGATTTCCCGCTCTGAGTCATCTATTATTAGCATTAAAAATCTATTTACAGAAACTCATTCGATGAAATGCAAGAGCTTGGCATAACGTGTCGGCTATGTCATCTTGATTCTTATTAGCGATTCCTTCAATCATATATAGTTGGTCAATTGCAAGCAGCAGATATAACATGTTATACTTGGTGTGTCGTTTGTTTGCTATATAGTTTGACGAGGACATACCTAGAAACGATGACAGGGTTAGTAGCAGGTGTAGCGCAATAGTATTCTTCAAAGACGGCTTTATTTTCTTAACAGGGTATGTATCAGCATAGTGGTACTTGATCATATTGAAGATCGCATTAGCTCCATGATTAGAAATCATTTGATTTTCGATCAATACCTTAATTTCGCCAGTTATTATTGATTCTTTGAGATCCATGTCAATCGTGGTTATAACTTCTTTAAGCTCGACTGCTTTTTCAGTTATAGATGTGTCTTTTGTTTTGAGGTCATGATTAATGTCAAAAACGCGCATCAACAAAGGCTGCCCAATTGAGTTTAGGTTGTTGTTCATACTAATGAAATTGTCTGTTTTATACGAATCGATATTCTGAAATGATTTCATACGATATACTCCAACCGCTAAGGAGCGGACAGCAATATCAATCGATATGTATGTAATCATTTTTCTATATTGATAACGGGCTAGATTCTGACCTTTGTTTTATAGGTTTTGCTTCGACTAACATATCTGCGTTAATCTGCCGCAAGGCGTTGCGATAACCACATATATCTATAAGACCTCCATAGTACGTGACATCGTAAAAATATGGAGCTCCTTAAATTCGGTGATGCGTTTATTATAAAATTGTGTGTAAAGCATTTTCAACATTGATAGCTTGTCAAAATATGTCTTGTCCTTTATGAATTCAGCACGAGTCTTTAAGAATGTAAATGAACATGCAAACACACAAAACAAGCCAATCGTGTCATATTCTTTTCCCGATGGTGTGTTTCGAATTTGCCTGGGGATAAAACAAGGAATGCCTTTACAGCTCATTCCACAGCTCCAGCACTTTAATGTTGCGTCTTTATAAGCTTCAGCCCATTGCTTTTTGTTTTTAAACTTGGCGATTCGGATGTCAGGTGAATTATGCGTTGTAGGTTCGCTTATAAGAGCAGCGCTACACGCGATGTTCTCTTCAATCACATGTTCTTCAAGTGTTTTAACATGACTGAAGAAAATGCCCTGAAGGAAGATAGTATTCCGAATAGGGATCTCCATATTGTTATTGTATTTTGTTATTAACCGCTCAGCACAACTAGATTTATTTGATTTTGCATAACCATGAGCGATGACACTAATCGTACAGCCAAACATATTATTCTGGGATATTTCACAGTAATACTGATAGTATGTGTCGTATTTATGATCCTAACATTGGCAAGTCCTACTACGATAAATTGGTATGATAAATCTAAATACGCAAAACAGTACACCACGATGAACACAGTTAACCTTGGTTTAACTATTGGATTTAGTATCTTGTCATTATTAATTGTTATTGTTACTGCCATTAAACTACGACACCCTAATTTGAATATGCAACAGTTACAAGCCAACGCTGCTGCGATGGGTGGACGGATGAGAACAGCATGGAACAATGGCATGTCTCCTATGATGAACAACATGCAGCAAGGATGGAATACCCGAATGAACAATATCCAATCAGGGTGGGCCAACGGTATCAACAATTTCAAGACCGGACCAGCAAATAATTTTGGAGTAAAAAACATACTTAATTCCCAATTAACATCAGACAACTAAAAGAGCTAACTCAATATGTGCTTGCTACGAATCTGAGAGCAGCACTTGTGTTTACGACGCTTGTACTTATCGCTGGGATGCTTGTTTTATCAATAGGATCGTTATTCTAAAAAGATGATGACAACGATGGACTTATTGATTTCACTGAATTAAGTTTTATGTTCAAGAAGCCAACTGATCCAATAGTATGGATCAACTATATAATTGTCATGCCCATGCTTGCATACGCTGGATACATATTTTATGAAATCATAAAAAAGATAGAGCAAACAAAACCAAGTAGCTATGGAGATCCAGGTACCATATTGTTTAGATCGCTGATATGGCTACGGATACTGCTTTTTTATAGTTTATATTAGCGTTGAGATTATCCCCCGCTTGTAGCTTTCTTCGCTGAGATTGCGTAATTAATGATGGTAACAATTCCATCATTAGGCGCGGCATAACCCCCACGTTATGTTTCATGACGAAACGGCTAACAGTTGTGCTTGTTTCCACGCGGATACGTTTTAGTTTTGACTTTACTACATCCGAGTATCCCGTAATATCAGGCTTGCATCCAAAGTATTCGTGCTTGCCGTTGAATATCATTTCTAGTAAAGACGCACCCGCGACCAACGCTTCTTCAGCGATTGAATTATACTTCAGCTTATTATAATTGAAAGTTAATCTGCGATGCACTTCTTCGATGCGTTTCAGTGGTGCATCATATGAAACATAATATTGACTTCCTTCAACCGATATACCTAGTTCGGATAGAACATCTCTGAGAGCTTCGATTTTGTTCAAGCAGTGTATTTTTTCTTTCTTCTTCGATTTCTTGTTCCATATCAATGTTCATCTTTGGAACATTTTCCATTACGCGATTGATCCTAGTCTGTAGTTGGTCATCTCTAGTCTTTTGCAGATTCCAGTCTATCTTGTTCGGATTCGCTTTCAAGAGATCTATCACAGCCGGATTCTCAGAAAGGTAGAACCAGTCTATCTCGTTCTGATTCGCTTTCAAAATATCTATCGCAGCTGGATTCGGATTGTGTGAAAGACAGCATCAGTGGATCCAGTATAGATTCTCTATCAAGAAGTCTATTGCTGCTGGGTTTTCAGAAAAGACTGCTAGGGTTGACGTTATCCAGATTCGCCTTTAGAAACTCCATTGCCGCCGGATTTCCAGAAAGATAAATCCAATCCCTCCAGTCTATCTTGTCTTGATTTTGTTTCAAGAGTGCATGTTTCCTACGGAGGAGGAAAACAGTTTTCCGTCCAAGCCGGCGGCACTTCATGCAAGATCCGCTTCAAACCGATCCTCGCGTGAAATGCATAGACAGGCCTGGACCAGCAACCACTGGTCACAATACGACTTAGGCGTTTTAGATAGAACAGCGTAGTTGCTAGAGTTGCTCAATTTTGTTTTAGCCTTAGACAAGTTTTAATCTACCCTTCAGAGCGCCTCGATGACCTTACGTTCAGGTGATTATGTGCTTCTTCACCCTGAGGACACTCCAGCCCTTCAAGGGCAATTCCAGTACGATGAAGTCGTGTCGGCGGGGCGTTCAACCGTCACGCTGCGGTCCGTTGGGCACGAACGAGAGCAGCAGTACTCTGTCGGAAGGGCGGTCCCAAGGAAGCGGAAGGTAGATGCGAGCGAGGCAGCCGGCAGCCGAGTTGGGGAGTGGATGCGGAAGGTTGTCTGGTTTGTTCACCGCGGTTACACGTACTACGGCCAGGTAGTGAACTATGACGGGTATGATCTTCTTGTTGGAACTTTCACCGGACAGAAGCGAGTGGCGGTCGACCACCTGACAAGCGAGATGTACCCAGTGGTGGCGATGATAATGGGCACGCGTCGCTGGTCTAGCAGGGTGTGGCCGTTAAGTCGGTTGGAGACGGTACACGACGATCTGATGGATTGTATATTGGCTGGTAAGGACGGGTTTCCTGTGTTACCCGCGGACTTGAAGGAACATGTACCGCAAGAGCTCTCAGGAATTTCGGATCGCCAGATTTTGTGGGTAGATCCGACCTCGGGGAGTACACGCACTGATTCTCTGAGTTACGTGCTAAGATACATATTTTATGCCGACGGAGATGCAGCTCACCCGCAACGAGGTAAAGTCCTGGGCAATTCCTTCTGCGACGAGCCGAGCCCGTCTCAGGGAGATAACGCCCAAGATTCCCCTCGGACAGATTTCTTTAACCCATTAGTTGATGACGACGACGGTCCAGTCGCCTCTGAGCCCCAAAATAGCGATGGTCCGCCACCCCAGCAGCCAGGACTGTCAACCGCAATCGGAGCTTACCCGCTGAACACTTTCGTACCAGGCAGCAGGACAAGCGCTGCGTCAGAGAGGCCCAGCACCGACGCAGTCGGTGAAGAATCGCAGGATCCTGAGCTTATTGACCTCACCAGTCGTTACAAGCCCCACCTCCTCGGTTTCTACATCAACCAATATCAGACCTCGACAGCTGGAACGCGAAAGCGGCTGAGAGAGGTCGCAGACGCTGCTGTTGAAACTCCAACGGCCTCCAAACGCTCAAGGATGGCATTCTCACCGTCGTCCGAACAAGACCGCGTTCACCTAGCGCTGACGGCCCCAATTCACAAAGGTAAGTCCAGTGACGCTTTCATCGAGTTTGTTTTTAGGGATGGAGCAGCTCTGCAGACATTCGGGAGTACTTTCAAGGGCATACGGTCTGCAGTTTGGATCCCGGGGTCTGTCTATTACACATTTCCGTCGTATGGGTACAATGGAACGTTACCGTATGGCTGCGTCATCTGCCAGTCTTAATTCCGACTTCTCTGTGCCTCCCCCCCCCCCGCTCCAGTACCTCAGTCGTGGAGTCAACTCGGTTCCGCTGCCCGAAGCTTTGCAGCCTATGCACACGCCCCATGTGACAGCGTGAGTGTACAGCTTGCGATAACAGTGGTTGACTTTATCGCTGAAGTAGAAGGGGGGGTCAATTAGTGGAAGAAGACCTTCCTGTGCTTGTGTGGTGGATCAACGACGGACTGGAGAAATATCGCAATGCGGTTTGACGTGACATAGCAACCGGGGGAAACTCACGAATCTCTCTGATCGACCGATTTTCTGCTTCGAATCCGGAGCTCCAAGGTCTCGTACTCTCAGTTCTTCGTGAGCGGCTTCTGGATGGAGAACAGTCCAAAACGAAAACGGTTTCTATCAAACCACGGCACCAGGGATATTTCCAAATGGAGAGGACGATACACACCGTGGACAACCGGTTCTCCCCTCCACCACAGTCTCTTCAGCTCACAGTTGCCGATCCAGACTGCGTACATGCAAAAGCGCCCACTGGGTGGCTCACAGCATACTGCTCAAGTCGTCACCGACGGCTAAGCCCACTGACAACTGTGTACCACACGGTCACTCAGAATTAACACCGTATCTAAGCTCCCGGGTACCGCATCAGGATGCGGAACGGCGCTCCCGGCTGATACGAACAAACCTTTGGACTTACGCCCTGCTCAAGAGGTAGGTGAGGTTGACACAGGAGTACCCAATCCGTCGATTGTTCAGGCTATCCTTGAGACGAAACTCCAGGCGGAGGAGAGACAGCGAGACCTCGTCATCTCCAAAGTCCTATCTGAGTGCGGAGTCACGATAGGGGACGGATCACGATGCGAGACACCACCTTCACCTGATATTCTAGACTCGTCCAAGCAAAGTGCACTCTCGCAGCTCGTGCAACGCGTCCGGTATTCGCTGCCGGAGTTAGTGGAGTTAGTTCGAGGCCAGACAGCACGAGACCGCCGTCCCAATAAGGCCTTGTGCCCTAAGCGCTATGACCTGTTGCTACGAGGTTACCGTCACCAGCGCCTTCTTCAATCAATTGCTACGGACGGTGTTTGTCCGGGATGGCTCCGCCCAGAACCCCATCAGAACAAGCGACCTGCCAACCATCACTCTGCCAATCGTAATTTGTCAGCGGAAATAGCCAGTATACGCAAAAGGCAAGATGCCAGTCAGTACCTTGTCGTTAACAGGGATGTTGCTGCTCTCTGGGTAAATGTGCAGATCAGCCCGTTTGGCGCGGTGGCCAAGAAGGACGTCGATCCGTCAGTCGAAGCTAGGCTGATCCATGACCTCTCTTTCCCGGTCGGTGACTCAACCAACGATGCATCCGACAAAGCGAGCTTTCCGGATGCCCACTACACAAACGTTGCAGCGATCGCGCGTCGTATTGACGAGTGTGGGGAGCTGCACCCCGGTGTGCTCGTGTGCATCATGAAAGGCGATGTCAAAGGAGCTTTCAGGCACTTGATGTTATCAAGTAGGTCCGTTCGCTGGATGGGAGGATATATACCAGATTGCCGGGCTCTCGTTATCGATATGTCCGCTCCGTTTGGGTGGTCCGGTTCACCGCCGTACTATGCGGCATTTGGTGGAGCCATTTCATGGCTTGTGGGTCGCGAGAGCCCTCACTCGCTGACCGGAGGAAAAAATGTGGATGCAGACCCCTTGTTCCCGTACGAGTGGGTAGATGATCACGTTCTCGTTGAGGCAGACACTCCTGGCCGTTTATCGGTAGCCTCGGCGGCACTACGACTGGCAATGATGGCGGTGCTAGGTCCACGATCTAACAATGAGAAAATGTTTTGAAAATGTTTTCCTGGAGTGAACCATATCGGTATCGATGGACTAATTTTTCTCTTGATTGGATACAGACTCCTGTTCCACAGGACGCTCGCTATCTGTACAAGACGTTCTCGCTAAGCTACAGGCCCATGCACTGGCCGAATCAAGTCACCAAAAGTATGCTATCACATGGAAGCAATGATGTAGATGGTGCGCCAGCGCCGGTACGTCGCTGTGGACCGAAATGTCGACTCCAGTCAGCTCATTGCGTTCGCGATATCCTGTTGGCATCGAGCAGATGGATCGCATGGTAATTCGGCCTCCACCATTCTGTCCAAACTTGGCCACATCAGCTGGTATCATCGGCGAATCTGTGGCTACTCTGTCGGTCGTCATGCGGGATACAGACTCGCTATCCAAGGGATGTCACGGCTGTCGCCAGCGCCACGAAGGAAACGCCCCGTGTCAGCCATTCTTCTCCGTCGACTCCGCTCCAACTGCGATTTCAAGTCCGAACACGACCGTATTCTATGGGGGGCTGCGGTCGTAAGCTTTTTCTTCCTTCTGCGAAGGTCAGAGTACTTAACCAACCACAGCACATCAAATAGCTACGCAATTCAACGTCGGGATGTGACGTTCTGGACACGAGAAGGGGGTTATGCGTTATCCGCCAACGCAGCTTACATTGTACAAGTCAAGTTCAGAGGAAGTAAAACAGACCAGCGCGGACTGGGAACGACCAGGTCATTGGAGCACTCGACGTTGCATGGTTGTGTCCAGTGAAAGCAGCTTGGGCGTTGGTCTCGCACGGGAAAAGCATCGGGTTGTCTGACGACTCCTTGCTCTGTACAATCAGCAAGGGCCAGCCAGTACCGGCAAACGACATGGCAGCAGCAATCAAAAGGGCAGCAGTCGACATCGGGGAGCAGGCATCAGAGTACGGGACACATTCTCTGAGGAGCGGCGGTGCTACCGCTCTGTTCGCTGAAGGCGTTGATAGACTCGCTATCAAGCATTTTGGACGCTGGAGCTCAGACTGTTACGAGCGCTATGCTTGTATGGACGGAACAACGATTGGAACGATGGTCAAGAAGATGGTGCATGGTGCCGGTCGTCATTTCACTAGTCGCGAACCGAGACTACGTCAAGAGGGTACATCCACGCCACACCCCGGCTGGAGGCGGTGACCACCTAATAAAATGTTCTGCCGTCCCCAAGTGCAATAGGTGAAGGCGGAAAATTGATGAAATCGGGATGCGGAATCAGATATCTAAATGGGTTAGAGTAATGACTCATCTTATTGCTTATTGTATATTTAAACTGGTGCAAATCAATTTTATGACCCGCTACCAAGCTCTTTCAAAAACAATTTCTTGAGCATCAGTCGCGCTTTCATTGAAATGTATAGTTTATTGAAAAAACAAAGTGGGCATTCTCAGTGCCTACTGTAATGAATACCGAATAATGGCTCTCACTCATTGCTGTATCACTCATCGGACTTGCTGCAAATTCTCGAATGAGAGATATCCCCTAAGAATTCATGTTGAATGTTAGCCGCGTCAACTTCTTTCCCAACTTGAGAGAAATTACGCGCTGAAAAAACATGGCGAATGATCCAGTATATACAACTGACAAAAAGAATCACCTCCCAGCAGGTCTCACTTCTCCTAGCTCTATCCCATGAACTATCAAAGGGTATCTATCTTAGCCTAGATGGCCAACCGGCAGATCGGACAAGTTCTTTGTTGCCAACGACTGTGGCAGCCGATGCAGAACGTGTGGTCACCGGGTGTGCGCACTGCCTCATCAGCAGCTATGGACTCAAGGCAGATCGGGCACTAGGGGGCGCTTGACTGCCTGTGCACGTCCTCGTAGAGATGCGTGTGGCGTGCGGCGTGCGGCGTGCGGCGAGCTCTTCCTCTTCAGCCTCCAGTTGTGCGCGGCGAGCGCCTCCTCCTCGTGGCGGATCTCGGCTTCGAGGCGATCGCGCACGCTTGCCTCGCGCTTCCTGGTGTCCAGTTTGTCGCGCCAAGCTGACAGAGCCTCCCCCGCGCGTCGAAAACGTTCTTCTGTGTCCTCGATAGAAGAGCAGAGAGAGAGATCGGGTTCGGGCGCTGGGGTGGGCGCTAGGTTTTGCAGCCATTGGACGACGTGCAGGTGACCATTCTTGGCGGCCCAGTCCATCGCTTCGGTAGTACAACCTTCCGTGCGGTTGGGGTGCAGCCACTGGATGATGTCCAAGTGACCGTTCCAAGCGGCTCTGTTCATAGCGTCGGTGGTGCAACCTTCCGTACGATTAGCATGCAGCCATTGGATGACGTTCAAGTGACCATATCTGGCAGTTCCACTTGTTTTCAATAACCATCGTTTCTTGAATGGGACGAAGCGAAGGCAGAAGCGATTTTATAACTAGAGGCAACTAACTGTTAATGGAATTCTTTATAAAGATGGATAATATTAGGTAGTTTTCTGTATACTATTTACTGTATACTAATTTTGATCGTTGCTTATAAGAAATATATGAGTAGAATCTTATCATGTCAACAAATAACAATGACAACAAACCAACGTATGTTCGTTCAGCTACCGCCAAAAGATTTCT